CCTCCTCCGCCCCCTCCTCCACCTCCCCCCGCACCCTCGACCAACTCCTCGATGCAGCCCCTCCACTTTCAGACCTTAGGAGCTTTTCAACCGGCGTTGATGCACCCGGGTGCCGCCGCCAACCCCTCAGTGCCCCAATGCTCGTACCCCCCAGCCCTTCAGCAGACAGGACTGCCTCCACCTCCCCCTCCTCCTCCCCAACAGACTCAACAAGGCCAGGCCCAGGTCCCTGCCTCCCAGATGCCTTCTGGGACTCGTGGAGCCCCTGCGTCCTCGGCCCCCTTCCACAGCTCGGGGTACCTGAGCACAGGGTGGCACTGATCGCCCCTGAGAACTCTGCCTGAGAGGGGCTTGTATCATAAGCTGTAGATATGTTTTCTATGTACCTGAACACGTGGCCAGTGGAAAAACAGCTGATGGTGGGATAAAAGGTTACTTTTTTAAAAAACAACAAGGACGGAAAATGTTAGAAAAAAGGACAATGACAAACTGTATAAAAATGAAGATGGACGATCTCCCCTGGTGCTCATCGCCCTCTCTCTGGCCTCCGTTTGTTTTTATATATCCTTCCTGTGATGGAGAGGAAAACTGTTCTGTGTCTTGTTTGGACCCCTGTTGTAAGGCTCCGCACTTTGTTTATCAATGGACATTCCAGCCTATACCCCCCTCTTCCTCATCCTCTTCCTCCTTTGTCAGTTATTCCTTTTACACCCTTTTCTCTCTCGTCTATTGTCGGCTCTCTTCACCATTTATTTGTTTTTATCTAGTGGCTCATTATAGCAAAGAGAAAGCTTTTTGTATAGAGAAAAAACACAATTATTTTTTGTATTCCTCTGTCTAACAACGTATATCTGTTCACCGCTGCAGATTCAGAAAAGACCCGTTACTGGTAGCCTGCGTCACCAACCCGGAAGGCTGCACTGTGCGTGTGTGTGTTATAGGGTGTGAAAGAGTATGTCTGCTTAAAGAGTGTGTGTGTGTGTGTGTGATTTCTTGTGAGTGCTTTTAGTCTTCTGAGGTAGGCAGAGTTGTCTCGCCCACAGGTAGGACGTTAGCGGTTTATTTTTGAATATCAATGGTTATTTGTAGAAAGTGTAATTTAATGTATAGGAGGTTACTCCAGCTTTCACCAGGAACAGGTTGTAAATAATCGCTTCTTTTCTTTTCTATGCTGGTACAAATTGCTCCCATCCCATTTTTGGAAATATGGTTGTAAATACGAATGCTCTTCTTGGCAAGGCTGAATGTTTCTGTGACTGTAGCATTTTCATTTCTTTCTCTTCTGGACTCTTCAACTTTGTCTTTTTTATTATTTTTGTGTGCGAGTGTATGTTTGTGCGGAGGGGAGAGACTCACAGACACTGCACTGGTTGGCTATTTTCATGGTTCATTATAATAAATCACTGTAATGACAGTTTTATACAACTCGTTGTGTCATGTGTCTCTGGGAAACGTTTGTATGTTGCTTTAGCTGCAAACGCAGCATTCTACCTTCAGGAGGAAAAGGCGGTTACCTTTTACACTGTAAGGTACTATGTTAAAAACCAGCAAGCCATAGTGTGTTACATCAACATTATCGTAGAAATAATAATAATAGAAGAAGCCATGGTAAGATTTGCAAAAGAGTCAAAGTATTATTATTTTTTAGAAAGTAAGTGAAATATATCAAAGTCAGCATAATATGCAGGGAAAAAAACATAATTAAATATGTTAAAAAAAAAATGTAAAGTGGAAATGTTCAGAAAGGAACGACAAACATCGAAAGCTTTATGGAGATGCAGATTTTAATCCAGCAGGACTTGGCCCCTGCCCACACTGAATTGCTATCCTTGACTTGACCTGAACCTTCATGGGGTGTCAAGAGGAAGATGAGACGGAAGACCAACAATGCCGAAGAGCTGAAGGACGCCATCGAAGCAGACTGGGCTTCCATCGCCTCAGCAGAGCCACAGGCTGGTCGCCGCGGTGATCCATGCAAAATGAGGCCCAACCAAGTACTGTGCATACATACTTTTCAGAAGGCCAACATTTCTGTAGTAAACAGGTGTTTGTATGGTCTTGTGTAACATTTGAATTTTCTGAGATACTGAATTTTGGGTTTTCATTAAAAAACACTTGAAGTAATTCACTACACACTAGTTTCACCTTTTAAATTATAATGCACTTAATTGTAATTTTACTTCATATATGTATTTGCATATTTTCGACATGCTATACTTGTATATTTTATTTTCAACATACTACTATGCCTTTTTTTTGCAAAATTCGACAAACTATACTTTGTCGTGTTTGTCATATTTTCGACATTATACTGTAATGTTTTTGCACATTTTCAACATACTACTATGCAGTGGCGAGCCGTGACTTTTATAGCTAGACTGTTTTACTCTCGTTGAGTTACTATAGTGGGCCATCTGTGAATTCATAGCTGGACCACCAATCAGCTCCTCTCTTCACAGTAACTCGCAGAGACGAGCTTCTTTCATTTAACCCTTCACATTCAAACAAACTGAATAGGCAGATTCGAAGGATTTATTTATTTGGAAAAGTTATACAATCAAACCAAGTTATTTTGGTAAAACCAATTAAAAAATATAACAAATGTATGTTTAAATATTATTTTGTAGAATATCTTAGGCCCTATTCGAGATACTATTGTGTCGTTTTTTTTTTTTAATAATCGACATACTCTACTATGCCTTTTATTGCATATTTTCGACATATATACCATATCCTTTTTGGGCTTTTTTTCTTCGAAATATATATTCAAATATTCAACATACTATACAATCTATACTGTGTATATAGAATATTATAGATATATTTTAAATCACAAAGCTATGTGTTACACTGATTACTAACCAGGAAGGGGGAGATAGTATAGTATTTGTGAATTGTCTAGGTCTTTTTGTTGCCACTGTGTCTTGATATCCAACCTAAAACTAACTTTACCAATGTTTGTTTAGCTATAAAATGGCCTTCATAGCTGTGAGACTGAAAAAGCGACAGGAAACGAGATGGCAGGTAACAAACGGCCGTATCCAGCTTCAGTTTATGTTCAGTACTCCACAATACTGTCAAATTACAAGATACTGTATGGTACAGACTAATAAAGGACCAATAGCTTGACACAAAGTGTACATTTCAAATCAATGTACAGGGACATAATAAACATACACACGTATTTTAGACTTGATACAATTCATGTTTTTTTCTTCTTAGTATCCATTTTGCAAAGTTGTCACTTGCAAGACCTTAAACTACACCCATTGAAATTATCACATCAAACATTTATTTTTAACAAAGCAGTACTGTTGTTTCCGTTCCTTTTATCAAGTGCATCTCCTTTAGTCCTCACTGTGTGTTGTCTTGATAAGAAAGAAGATCTGACCTCAAGTCTGTTAAGTCCTTATTTCTGTCCGTCAGAGACTGGATCATTTCTTGTGATTTTAATCTATTCAAGCAGCTGTTGCTCCGTGGTGTGTGGGAGCTGATATGTCCTTGAATAGTCTTTTAAATATGTTCCTTTTCACCTTTTCGCTTTCCTCTCATCCAAACGGACAAACATGTCAATCTGAACGTTAGATAATGCAGCGACATACCAACACAGGTAATCTTTAAAAAGTTATTTTATGAATGCATCCTGTAAAAAGGAGCAGTTTGAGATGAATGAGAAGGATATTTTACAGAGGGGGGGGGGGCTTTCAGAGAAGACAGCCGGCATCCTGGTCTCCACCAAAGTGATGTGGGCTCTTCCAGACAGACCTGACCTTTGACCTGTTCTTTCCCCACACATCAGCTCTGCTTCCCAGCCACAGGTTGGACCAGGAGAGATGCTGGATCCTGAAGTTTCATCATGTTTAGGTAACAAGACCTGCAGCAAAAGGACATTATTTAGAATCTGCTGGCATTCATGTTGTGTAAAATCAATATAAAGCAGATATTCCCTCTTGTTTGCACATTAGTTCACTGATAAAGCCTTAAAAGGCATTTGCTTTGTATGGGTTTGAAAAATATAAAGGGGAAGCCCCATGGTGTACTCGCATACACGCATCATCCAATTATTGCACAAATACATTTGGATATGCCAAATCTACCACCATCAAAGTGATTGTAATTAGTTATTTAAGTGCTGATTTATGTAAAAATAGCCAAGTTAAAATCCAAATAAACAGTCGTTACATGATAATTATTTGATTTTTTGATATTATCTGATTATGAATACATATTTTGAATTGATTGGGATTACTGCTGCTTTTTATGATAATTATAATGATAATAAAGATTGCTTTAAGAGCATGTGGTTGCAGGAAATATGTTCTGCTTGATCAGAAAGTATCAACTCAGCAAACAAGCTCAGTTGAAACCAATCAAACGCTATTTTATCATCAAAAGAACTTTCCAGAGATACTAAACATATCTGCCAAAACTTGAGTATGATCCTAACCTCTTTGTGCTTGATCATCACCAGGTATTATATGGCGTTACTGCCGCTCTCTGTGGGTAAAAACAAAGAGAACATTTCAGCATGGACAGGATAGATACCCATCTACTTAAACAGCAGGTGGCAGTGTTACATCAATCATCTTCCCCCCTAAAGGACGCATGAATTAAAACAGACCATGTTTGTGGACAGGTGTCACTATCCATTCTCCTTCATTGACAAGACAGGAAAACATCCCATTTAAACTTGATCTCCTGTTTGATGGATCCCCCATGTTTCACTTTGATTTGCAATACTTCACGCACATCTGTCTCCCCCCTCCTCGGCTCATTCTCCGTCTTGTCCTTCCCTCTTTATAATGGCTTCTTCCTCCTAGCCTTTTTTGCCTATAGGAGCTAACAGGCTGATAGTGTGGCTGTGATTCATTTGGACAGGCTGGCAGCAAGCTGTGTAAACAGCCATTAGTAATTCATGACTCTGTCCAGCGTCCCCAGGCTTCAATTAACCCTTGCTATTGCTGTGAATTCATTCATTTTCTTTCCTCTCATTGCTTCTCATCTCTGCCCTTCTTCATCAGTATTTTCCTCTCCGCTGTTGGCTGACGTACGGAGCCACACGAGAAAGGCTTATTAAGCACTAAATGATAGCAGAGGTGTGGATACAAGTCACACATTTAACTCATTGGACTTGAGCATTACAACTTTGAAGAGTTATAATATCGAGCCAAAAGTGGAATACAATGCAGACTCGGAGCACACGTTCAAGCCAAATGGATTTTCTAATAAGTTCAGGGAAAATAGCCTGAATCTCATTTCAGGTTTTAATTCACTACAGCTTTTATTTTATTGTTAATTACAAAATGTACTACCAATCTTTTGGTGTTTCCAATTTGAAATGGCAACACATCTAGTGGAGAAGGTGTTATGAGCTTTAGATTTAACTTGACAAAGCTGTCAAGAGTAAGGCTTTGTGTGTTTTCCCTTGATTCCTGTCATGGTTATAAATTACTGGCCTCTAACAATATATGCAATTAGAAAAAACCCAAAGTCATTTTAAGTAATGTATTTGTTGCGTCACTATCACTGCCGCTTTTCTTGGTCTACTCAGTCCCTTTGGAGATTAAAATGTCACTTCATGATGATTTTGAGAGCCTGACCATGAAAACTGTACACAATAGTCTCCTTGCTTCCCTACAGCACCGTCTAAACTCTGTGTCCTCTTCTGTGTTATGACCCATGAAGGTTTTATTCTCTTACTTTCCCCCAGCAGCTCGTCAGACATCAGACCGTCCTGCCGGTTCCCCAGGACGAAGGCCAGGAAAGAGAGGATGAGGGCGTCCATGATGCCCATGATGGCCAGGATGTAGGCCCAGCGCACCGAGCAGGCACCCAGCGTGTATTTGTCCGTCCCTTCGCCGCACATCCGCTTCACCTCGTCACTGTCCCAGCCGTCAGGGTAGATCAAGCAGCCCAGGACCAGAGAGGTTCCTGCAGCGGGGGGAAAGGGGCGAGGGGCTTAATGGGCTGGAAAGGGACTTCATGTTACATTTGGGATACTCTGCAAACCTCAATCTATAAAAAGGCGTGCCTGGTATGAAGTGCAAATGCAAGGACAAATGTACCTTTAAGATTTAAAGGGGACCTATCATGAAAAATGCACTTTTGTACGTCTTTTATACATGAATGTGTCCCAAATGTGTACATGAATGTGTCAGAAAACACAACCCTCTCTCTTTTCCTCCATACCCAAATCTCTAAAAACGGGGCTGCAACGGATCTGATACAGACTGATCCAGATTTGAAATATCTCTGACGTCAGAAACAAGGAGCTCCACCTATATGGGCAACTCTCCACCAATCAGGGGAATGGGGGGTTGCGTGGCATGGTAACAGCATGGTTTACTTTGAGAAACAGGATCAAATAATATATATTTTTTGTTATTTATTTATTTGCATTTTAAGAATTGAATTGGTTACAGGGCATACAAAACAAAATGAAGTATGTGTGATGGATACTTCTGAAGCAATGGAGACAGGAGTCAGAGAGACACGGAGAGAGCTGGAACTTTGATGGCAAACACTGATGGTTTATTTGGAGCTTCGGCCGGAGAATTCACAAGACATGTGCTGAGCCACGAGTTGACACAGCGGATAGGAAACCAATTCTGAAGAAGTCTTCTGTAGTTCGAGGTTTCAACTAGTTCAGAGTTTAATAGACAACATTCCTCATCAGCGAGACTAAACAAATATGGACCCTGAATCTAACTAGAGCTGTCGTCCATAGAAAACAATGTGCGCCAGGGAACTTATGTTCCGGAAGAGAAGGGCCTCTAGATGTCCCTGAACAATAAACTACCTCATGGCCCATGAGGTAGTTTATTGTTCAGGGACATCTAGAGGCCCTTCTCTTCCGGAACATAAGTTCCCTGGCGCACATTGTTTTCTATGGACGACAGCTCTAGTNACTTTCTCCGTCTTTATATGTAGATTAATCTCCGCTCCTTTTCTCCGTCAAGTTGTTTCTATAGCAACAACAACTTCCTGTCAACAGCGTAAACTCGCCCTCAAAATAAAAGCATCTAAATAACACAGGAAGTTAACCTAAATTACATTTAAGACATACAACAAAGCCTATACATGTCATCATCATCATCATCAGCCATTTCATCTGTAATGATGTGTCCCAGATACTTTGTTTTACAGCAAACAGACAGCACCTGTCCTGACAGAGAATGTTGGAAAACCAAGGTTCTTATCCCCTTTTTGCTCTGCAGATCATTACAGCGCTCTTCTTAGCATTGTATTTAACATCAAATTTGACTCCATAATCAGAACATACATTTAGCAACTGTTGAAATCCAGCGCTGCTAGGAGAAACAATAGCCAAATCATCGGCATACATAAGATGGTTTACAATCACATTACCAATCACACATCCTATTTTACAGACACTTAAATCATCTGATAGATCATTCATATAGAATAGATATTAAAAAGGCATGGTGAGAGGAGCCCCCCCCTGGCAAACTCCATTACCAACACCAAATGGCGCCGAGACTGTATTCGCCTAATTGATGTATAGATCAAGTAACTGTTGAGGGAATTTGAGTCTGGATCAGGTTGTAGAAATCAGCCAGCACGGCAAGAAAACGTATAGTTAATACATATTTACCTTATAGGATTTTTCATTTTGATAGTTTTGATACACAGTGACAGAAAAAATATATATATTTAACCATATCATTTACTTTTTTTTGTCTGTTTTTATAGACCCAAGGATTAATATCTGTTGTAAAACAAATAAACAAAGCATTCCTGAAAACGTACCATCGTGTTAATAATTGTCCACGTCCTTGTTGACAATCTTCACTGTTGAGAAAGAAATCACCAAATAAACATTTTGATGCAGAATTCACTGGAATCTGATTAATTAGCCTTAAACTTCTGGCAAAATATAATTTAAATACAGCGATTAGTATAGAATATATATATATATATATATATATATCTCACATTTATGCGCCAAATTGTGAACATGTTGTCTTATTTTCAGCAGCATACCGCTGCTTTAAACTGTGCCTCCCTTTGCTGTGAGCACATTGATCTCCAAACTCAGGAAGGCTGCAGGAAAGTCAATAGACTCTGTGCCTCCTGGGAAATGTAGGCGTAGGATATGGATTAGATTCCTTTCACATCGATGCTGGTTATTATTACAGCCGCTTGTTGCGGCTTTTATTGGTACAACTGTGAGGGGCTGGGGGCGTTTAACTCATGACCCAGACATCCATCATGCATCTGTCTACACTCTTTATCTATTCTCTCTGGATATGGTGTACACAAAGAGCAACAGGCGGGAAAATGGGGGAGAGGAGGGACACAAGTTTGACATTTCTGGAGATAATCTGTTTGCTTTATCTGCTGGCTGCTCACCTTGTGCCAACACTCTTTAGTACCTACATTTGTGAAGCCCCTGAATGCAGCAGTGGGATGTAACTAAGTACTTTACTTAAGTACTGAGCCGTTTCTTCTCATGAAACTCCTACTCCATTACATTTCAGAGGGTTATGTTTAGGGCTGCTCAATTAATCGTATTTTAATCGCAATTACGATTATGGCTTGCAACGATTACAAAAACAACGTAATCGAAATAAAACGATTATTTTTATATTATTACTGTTACTTTTTTTTTGTTATACTTTCTTTTTTTTTTAATTCTTTTTTTCAGTTGAATTATAATTAAAGTTCAGGGTAATCAACTGTTGTTCAAAATGTTTTTGGTAAATGGATAATCGTTTTTAATAATCGTGATATCAATTATTGACATAAATAATCAAGATTAGGATTTTTGCCATAA